CTCCCACTTGGCTGCCTTATTTCTGCCAGTGAAAAAGAAATACAATGATTTATTTACCTTGACCGAATTCCACTTCCATTTGAGACTTTTGTAGAGAAGTCTTAAGAAAGGTGTTTTGAAATGCTCCCACAATCTGGAGAAGCAATGCGGTGAAGATAAATTATGACTTTGTTCCTCTCGTGCTTTTGAATACCGGAGCGAAGCGGAGGTATTGAACATCTGTATCTGCTATCATCCATGAGACAGCTTCAAACGGGCACCGTGTATAATGGCGGGGCCAAAGCGGAGAGAGAACTCAATCACCTGAGAGAGCATCATAAATTCGAAGTCGAGAAACACTGAAGTGGAGTTAAACCGACGAACATCGGCATTGCTGCGGCAGCCGGCGGCACATCAGCTATAGGGGATGGGAAAGCACAAAGAAGGCCGGGAAAGGCTCGGAACAGCTGCAGAGGTGAGACTTGAAGCGGAGCTTAAATAGCTTCGGACGGACATCGTAATTTTATAAAGAGGGTGATGTTTGGCATACTTTGTTCTATCCTGAGCTGGATGCTACGTAGGTCAATGGCTTCTGCTGTCAATCTGCCGTTTTACTTTACTGCTTTGTACAGCCTCATGTCAACATGCTATGTAAAACACCAGTTACCTTTGCCAATCTGTCATCTTGTGTAGGGCCTGTACAGCCTTGGATTGACATATTGTGTCAAGCATAGATTGTGGGCACAGGTTCGGTCATGACGTCAATTGTCAGGTGCCATGTCGCGGGTTGCCAGTGTTTTGTCTGTCTGCATGTCATGTTTGAAAGGTAGTTGCCGGTGCCGCACTGTCAATGTAATGTGCTGTGTATGCTGTGTCCTGTATGTCATGTTTGAAAACTGGTTGCCGGTACCACTATATTGATGTAACATGCTGTGCACACTATGTCCTGCGTCCTTGGTAGTTGCTGTCTCTTCTGTCGGTTCCCGTAATATTAGGTCACGGTGTCACAAGGTGTCGCTATTTGCCCCTATTGGTGTCACTACCTTATCGACATTGTGCATTTTGTGGCTGGCTCAAAAATGGTAAATTGTTCCCAGGATAGGTAGGTGACAGTGAGCTGGGGTAGGCGGGCTTGTCTGGTAATTTCGGTGATTGCCGAATCTTATCCAAATATGGCTTTAATCCTTTTCATCTCCAAACACTTTTGGGGGATGACAGTGCCCTTGGGGATTCAAACCCTGGACTCATCTTGATTAGTGAAAGAACAGATCAATTCACGTGTGTTTCCATAATGTACACCAAGAGTGCTTCCTATGCATACCATAGTGGGCAGATATCAACTGACCTGCTCATTAACTTGCACTCCAACTTAGGGGTGCCCACCCAATGTTGCAAGGTCCCAGACTGCATCTGCATTTCATCTGTTTTGTTCTAGATAGATTGGCTGTTCCTTCCATTCCGCTCTCAAAAGAAATCAAGTCGGACAACGGCAAACACCAAAGTTGGAAAAAACAGAACTCCAGCCAAAAGACTCAACCACGAAAGCCATGCACCCTCGGGAATTCAAACCCTGGGCTGATCTCAATGAATTGGACTAGTACAAACAACTGTAAGATGTGGGCTTCTGAGTCCATACACCAAGGGTGCTTAGTACCTCCATTGTAGTGGACATATATCAACCAATGGTTCCGCTGCATTATACTCCGAGTTATAGCCCCCCCCCCCCCCAACTTTGCAAGGTCCTGAGTTTGGGGCCTAGATAGATGGATTGTAAAATGGCTGTTCCTTCCATTCTGCCCTCAAAAAAAGTCGGACGGCAAACACCAAAGTTGGAAAAACAGAACCCCGGCCAAAAGACTCAGCCACGAAAGCCATGCTCCCTGGGGGATTCCAACCCCGGACTCATCTTGATTGACCACAGAGAGTACATAAATTCAAAGATGTGTGTTTCCATACACCAAGGATGCTTCATATGCATACTGGAGCAGGCAGATATCAACTGAACTGCTCAGGTGGGCCACATAGATAAATTGTACTCCAACTTAGGGGTGCCCACCCAATGTTGCAAGGTCCCCTGCATCTACACTTCATCTGTTTTGTTCTAGATAGATTGGCTGTTCCTTGCATTTCGCTCTCAAAAAACAAAAGTCGGAAAAATGAAAAACAGAACCCCACAACATATGAAGCAGCTACAATTAATCGTGGCCCCAATTTTTCGTGAGGCCTGATTAAATCCAGGCCCCAGTTCTTGGGGCTGCTATTTCGAGGTTTAATCCTACTTTAATCCTGTCACATATATGCAATACAATATATTTTACCCAGATAGTAGATTAATCCTAGATGCAATTAATTGCAGGCAGGTCCGATTATCTGGCTGCTGATTAATCAGTGCACGCCTGCGATTAATCTTGAGATAACACCAGTCACAATACCTATCTAATAATCCTGTCCCAATTAATCCTAATGCACCAATTAATTCTAATGTAATTAGGCGGATTAATCCTACCCCGATTAATTCGAAGGTGCGGCACACGTAAATCCTGGGTTAAACTTACACCCACCACAATTAATCGAGGAATAATCCCAGTTACCCTTTGCAATGGGGAAGATGTGAAACTACAGGCTGTACAGGTGGCACTGTTGGCTACAAGCAAGTTCCTGGTGCGGCACACAGACCTGAATATGTATTAGTGGACAAGGAGAGGGACACGCACACAGGAAGAGGCCACCAACACGGACTGTGGGTTGTTTCACCATATCCAAACCCCACTCCGGGTCCTCCGTGTCCCCCTTGTATTTCCATTTGCCGCCTACAGGTGCAATCCAAGCATTGACAAAGTGAAAGTGGTCTTCAGAGAATAGACTCACTCTTGAGGGCTCAAGAGAAGCCGGTTACCACCTTGCCACCAAGGGGGGAAAAAAACAGAGAGAAAAGAGCCTAGTTTTTGAGGATGGGTGGTCACTTGAACAAATTGGAAATGGGGGAGACACCCGGCAAGCCATTTGACCGGGAAAAGAAGTGGGTGTTGAAGCAAAGTGATATTTGAAGAGAAATCTTGCAGGGAAGATGGTGGAGCAAAGAAAAGCGGACTCATTTGCAAATGTTTGTGATTCTTCCATTGTTCGTTCAAGTTCATTCATTGTCATTCGGAGTTTGAATGACTTGGCAGCTGCTGCATCCTTCTTGCTTCCTTCCATGCCTCATCTACTCCTATATTTTCAATTCCTGCCCTGTCTCCTATTCCTGAAACCACCTCTGAACTTCTCAAGAAGACACAATGACTTCATGGGAAACCTCTGACTCACTGGTTGCCCTGAAGTTCCCCCAGAAAATACGGGTGGCATATGGGTGGCATAAGCTTGGATAGGGGGAGTCCATTCCATCCACTTGTTTTGCTATCTAACGCCAGCATACCCACCTTTCTCGGAATTCGTGCAGCACTCAACACCGCTAACTCCAGGGTGAGTTGACACTTATTCATTTCTTCTGCCCAGCGGCCCTGATTACATCTTCCTATGTGTAATCGACACCCAGATTAATCGAGGATTAAATCAATACCAAAATTATTTAGCAGTAAGCCATTCAATGTCAGGGAGCTCAAACCTGATTAATAGGCAGGTTGCGCTACAGCCGCACGCGGCTTTTAAGGCCGCCTGCGGAGTTGTGCTCTTTTGCTCCCTAGCATCGCTATGATTGCTAAATAACATTCTCTGGACCACCAGAGCAAAAGACGAAAAAGCTGCATGTGACGAGTTTGCGCACAAAACAAGCCGCATGCGGCTTTGCGCAACCTGTCTAATCCCTGCGACTCCAGATTAATTGGCAGAAGATCAATGTTTAATCGCATTGCAGGATTAAACACAGCCTCTTGGAGGATACAGATTCTGTGGTGGCTTTGGAGATTTAATCTCACGGCTGGCTACATTGTCGAGATTAATTCTATGTACCCAACATGGGATTAATCTATGTTGCTACAGCGAATTGATTGTGGCTTTGAGATTTAATCGCAGAGATGGTTGGGGTGTCTAGATTAATCCTACATATATACAGCTTGTACTACTGGGTGACTTCCCATAAGGATTAAAATATACTTGAGCTTACTTGAAGGTGCCAGTGATGCCATCAAATTGTGAAATATTCAAGTTGTCCGCCAACGCGCCGAATTTCCATGAGAAAGAATAAAAAAATCAAGGTTGTGTTCGCCTTTGAACAAGGGCCGGAATGAACTCCGGCAGGAAATGGGAGTCTTCTCAATTTTTTTTGAAGTCAATCGGCCACTGGGTAGCACGGGAGGAGCGCGGAAAGTTGCCACCACCACCCAAAACGGTTTATTCATTTAATGATAATTTAGAGGGGGGGTAGGGACCCCTCCTTCAGATTATAATAGATTCGCATTATATCGTGTCTGCTTTTGGGTGCCCGATTGATGGGGTCCCGACAGCTGTCTCGGCAAAGCACTCAGATATTCCCCAGCAATATTTTAATGCTTATGGGAAGTCACCCACTACAAGATTAATTACAAGATTAATTGAGATAAAATAGCGGCCCCAAAAATTGGGCTCAGGATTTAATCAGGCCCTCACGGCGATTTGGGGGCAGGATTAATCTGCCAAGCTGATATCACTGAACCCCAGCCAAAAGACTTGAGCACACAGTGGACAGGCACCCTCGGGGATTTGAACCCCGGACTCATCTTGAGTAACCAGATACAGGGATATATCAACTCAAAGATGTGTGTTTCCATCATGTACACCAAGGGTGCTTCCTGTGCATACTGTAGCGGGCACAGATATCAATATCAACTGAACTGCTCAGGTGGACCATGGAGATGAATTACACTCCAACTTAAAGTTAGGGGTGCCCACCCGATGTTGCAAGTTCCCCTCCCTGCATCTGCATTTCATCTGTTTTATTCTAGATAGATTGGCTGTTCCTTCCATTCCGCTCTCAACAAAAGTCGGATGGCAAACACTTAGGTTGGAAAAACAGAATCACCGCTAAAAGGCATCCAGAATACGAATGCACCCTCGGAGATTTGAACCCCGGACTCATCTTGACCATTTGGACGTCTGGCCACATCGAAGAAGTGTGTTTCCATACACCAAGGGTGCTTACTGCCTCTACTGTAGTGGACATATATCAACTAAACCGCTATATAGGTATGGTTCCGTTACAGTATACTCCGAGTTACAGGTGCCCACCCAACTAGATATAGATAGATAGATTGAAAATGGCTGTTCCTTCCATTCCGCCCTCAAAAAAGTCGGACAGTAAAGACCAGGACCAAAGTCGGAAACACAGAACCCCAGCCAAAAGACTTGGTCACACAAGAAAAATGCACCCTCGGGGATTCAAACCCCGGACTCACTTTGATTCATATCAAACATCATCAATTTAAAGATGTGTGTTTCCATACACCAAGGGTGCTTAGTACCTCTATTGTAGTGGACATATATCAACTGATGGTTCTGCTGCATTATACTCTGAGTTATACCCCCCCCCAACTTTGCAAGGTCCTGAGTTTGGGGCGTAGATACATAGATTGAAAAATGGCTGTTCCTTCCATTCCGCCCTCAAAAAAAGTCGGACGGCAAACACCAAGGTCGGAAAAACAGAACCCCGGCCAAAAGACTCAGCCACGAAAGCCACGCACCCTCGGGGATTCAAACCCCGGGCTCATCTCAATGAATTGGACTAGTACAAACAACTGTAAGATGTGTGTTTCCGAGTTCATACACCAAGGGTGCTTAGTACCTCCATTGTAGTGGACATATATCAACCAATGGTTCCTCTGCATCATACTCCGAGTTATACCCATCCCCCCCCCCCCAACTTTGCAAGGTCCTGAGTTTGGGGCCTAGATAGATAGATTGAAAAATGGCTGTTCCTTCCATTCCGCTCTCGGAAAAAAAGTCGGACAGCAAATGGCAAACGCCAAAGTTGGAAAAATAGAATCCCAGCCAAAAGACTTGCCGAAGGAAAGATGCACCCTCGGGGATTTGAACCCCGGACTCATCTTGGTTAACCAGATACAGGAATACATTAATTCAAAGATGTGTGTTTCCATACACCAAGGGTGCTTCCTATGTGTGCTGTAGCGGGCAGATATCATGATTAGCTGACCTGCTCAGTAGGTAAATTACAGTCCAACTTAGGTGCCCACCCAATGTTGAAGGTCCCCTGCATCGATATCTGCACTTCATTTTGTTCTAGACAGGTTGGCTGTTCCTTCCATTCCGCTCTCAAAAAAAAGTCAGACAGCAAACACCAAAGGCGGAAAAATAGAACCCCGGCCAAAAGAGTTGGCCACGAAAGGGGTATACACCCTCGGGGATTCGAACCCCGGACTCATCTTGATTAACCAGATACAAGAATATATCAATTCAAAGATGTGTGTTTCCATACACCAAGGGTGCTTCCTATGCACGCTATGATATCAACTGAACTGCTCAGGTGGGCCACGTAGATAAATTACACTCCAACTTAAAGTTAGGGGTGCCCACCTAATGTTGCAACGTCCCAGACTGCATCTGCATTTCATCTGTTTTGTTCTACATAGATTGGCTGTTCCTTCCATTCCACTCTCAAAAAAAGTTGGACAGCAAGGCAAACATCGAAGTCGGAAAAACAGAACCTCGGCCAAAAGACTTAGGCACAAGAAGGAAATGCACCCTCGGGGATTTGAACCCCGGACTCATTTTGATTAGCTGGACACCCAGCACCTGTCAACTGTAAGATGTGTTTCCATACACCAAGGGTGCTTAGAACCTCTGTTGTAGTGGACATATATATATCAACCGAACCACTAGGTATGGTTCTGCTACATTATACTCCAAGTTATAGGTACCCACCCAACTTTGCAAGGTCCTGAGCTTAGGGCCTAGATAGATAGACTGAAAAATGGCCGTTCTTTCCATTCCATTCTGCTCTCAAAAAAAAAAAAAAATGGACGGTGGCAAACACCAAAGTCGGAAAAACTTTTAAACAGAACCCCAGCCAAAAGACTTGGCCACGAAGGAAGGATGCACCCTTGGGGATTTGAACCCCGGACTCATCTTGATTGACCAACAAGAAAATATTAATTCAAAGATGTGTGTTTCCATACACCAAGGGTGCTTACTAGTGGACATATATCAACCGATAGCTCTGCTACATTATACTCCGAGTTATGAGCGCCCACCCAACCTTGCAAGGGGCCTAGATAGATATAAATACCTAGATTAAAAAATGGCTGTTCCTTCAATCCATCCCGCTGTCCTGCGAGGAAAGAAAAAAGCATGAATACATTATGTAGATGGAGGCAATACCGATGCCAAAGTCGGAAAAAGAATCACCGCTAACACGGGTTTCAAGTACGAATGCGCCCTCGGGGATTCGAACCCCGGACTCATCTTGATTAACCAAATCGGCGGGTACATTAATTCAAAGATGTGTGTTTCTATACACCAAGGGTGCTTCCTCCATATATCATAGTGGGCAGATATCAACATCAACTGAACTGCTCAGGTGGGCCACGTAGATAAATTACACTCTAACTTAAAGTTTGGGGTGCCCACCCAATGTTGCAAGGTCCCGGACTGCATCTGCACTTCATCCGTTTTGTTCTGATTGAAAAATGGCCGTTTCCTTCCATTCCGCTCTCCAAAAAAGTCGGACGGCAAACGGCAAACACCAAAGTCGGAAAAACAGAACCCCGGCCAAAAGACTCAACCAGTGGAACATGAAACCCATGCACCCTCGGGGATTCGAACCCCGGACTCATCTCGATGAATTGGACTAATGCAACAACTGTAAGATGTGTGTTTCCATACACCAAGGGTGCTTACTGTGCCAGGTATGGTTCCGCTACATTATACTCCGAGTTATAGGCGCCCACCCAACTAGATACAGATATAGATGGATAGATTAAAACATGGCTGTTCCTTCCCTGCAAGGAAAGAAAAAAGATCAAAGTCGGTGACTCGGAAAAGTAGAATCGCCGCCAAAACAAATCAACGCGCTCCAACATACGCCCTCGGGGAGTCGAACCCCGGACTCGTCTTGAGTTAAGTGCCCGTCAGCAGTAGTGTACCATGAAGACGGGTTTACCGTACACCAAGGGCGCGATACCGAGACGGTGGGATGTCGAGGAAGCACGTTTGGAGATTCTATCGCCCTCGATGGCGGGATGTTGAGGAAGTGAGTTTGGGGAATGAATATTTGTATTCACCCCTTTCTTTGCCGACTCCGCCGACCCTGCTCGGGATTCGTAACGCGATGCCTGTCACGCAGCGGTGATCAGCGCCTGAACTGTCCAATAGATAGATGAACCACCAAGTGGGTATGCAAATATCCGACTAGTCAGGTGTTTCTGCCGACCCACCCTCACTAAACAGAGAATACTCAAAACCGGTGAACAAGGGGGGAAAAAAAAGAAAAAAAGAAAGAAAAAAACTATATACACCAAGTGCTGTAAACAAGGAAACTACTAATGACTGCCAAATCTGCATTTGTGTCATTCTGCATGTAGAATTTGTGTGGTTGTGCTGGCAACTTGCAAAAAAACTGAAACTGGCTAGCAGATGTGCCCTCGGGGAATTGTGCCCCAGGTTTGTCTTGCATTCTGCTTTGCATATCAAGAAGACCAGGGGTGCTTGCTAGTGGGTTGAGAAGTTGGTGAGTCTGGGCTCGATGCTCAATGTTTTGATTCAAACATCTGTAACTGTGCAATAAATTAATGAACTACCAACTGGGTCCCGCAAATATCTGACTAGTTAGATGTTTCTACCAGCCAACAAGAGAATAGCACCCAAAACCAAAACCAAAACCAACGAGAAGAGAAGAAAAAAACAGCCATAAAACAACATGCGCCCTCGGGGACTCGAACCCCGTGTTCGTCTTGAATCCTTCTTTGGAACAAAACAGACGTAAGACGTGTGTTACTGTACACCAAGGGCACATATTGACCGGACTGTATGGTCCGCTAAATTATACAGCGACTTACAGGTGCTTGCGAGGTCCCCTACATCTGCACTCCATCTGTCCTGTTGTTCTAGATAGATCAATTGATTGATTGAAAAATCCAGGCTGTTCCTTCCGCTCTCAAAAAAAGTCGGACGGCAAACGGCAAACACCAAAGTCCAAAGTCGGAAAAACAGAACCCCAGCCAAAAGACTCAGCCGCGAAAGCCATGCACCGTCGGGGATTCGAACCCCGGACTCATCTTGATTATTTTGTGCTAGAGCAACTGTGAGATGTGTGTTTCCATACACCAAGGGTGCTTAGTACCGCTATTGTAGTGGACATATATCAACCGATGGTTCCGCTACATTATACGTTATAGGCGCCCACCCAACTAGATATAGATAGATAGATTAAAAAATGGCTGTTCGTTCCCTTCGATCGGCTGTCCTACAAGGAAAGAAAAAGTCGGCAACTCGGAAAAGTAGAATCGCCGCCAAAAGAAATGACGCTCCAAGACAGACATACACCCTCGGGGAGTCGAGCCCCGGACTCGTCTTGAATCAATTTGCTGTAAATATACCATGAAGACGGGTGGGTGTTACTGTACATCAAGGGCACATCTTGTCTAGACTGCTCGGTAGGTATGGTCTGCTAAATTATACAGTAACTTACCTTGTCTTGAATTCTGCTTTGCATATCAAGAAAACCAAGTGTGCTTGCTACATCTAGAGTGCTGTGGCGGGTTGAGAAGTTGGTGAATGCTCGATGTTTTGATTTAAACATCCGTAACCGTGCAATAATTTAAAATTAATGAACAATTACCAACTGGGACCTGCAAATATCCGACTAGTTAGATGTTTCTACCAGCCGACAAGACAATAGCGTCTAAAACCAGAACCAAAACCAACCAGGAGGGAAAAGAAAAAAAAGTGATTGTGAATGGATAATGCACCCTCGGGGAATCGAACCCCGGGTTTGTCTTGAATTCTGCTTTGTTTACCATCAAGACGTAAGACGTGTGCTACCATACACCAAGGGCACATGTTGACTGGACTGCTTGGTAGGTATGGTCCACTATATTATACAGCGACTTACAGGTGCTTGCAAGGTCCCAGACTGCATCTGCACTCCATCTGTCCTGATGTTCTAGATAGATAGATTGATTGATTGAAAAATCCAGGCTGTTCCTTCCGCTCTCAAAAAAAGTCGGACGGCAAACGGCGAACACTAAAGTCGGAAAAACAGAACCCCGGCCAAAAGACTCAACCAGTCGAACACGAAAGCCATGCACCCTCGGGGATTCGAACCCCGGGCTCATCTTGGACTCCTAACATCTGTGAACTGTAAGATGTGTGTTTCCATACACCAAGGGTGCTTCCTATGCATGCTGGAGCAGGCGGATATGCATGATCAACTGACCTGTTCAGTAGATAAATTACACTCCAACCTAGGGGTGCCCACCCGACGTTGCAAGGTCCCCTCCCTGCGTCTGGTTTTGTTCTAGATAGATTGGCTGTTCCTTCCATTCCGCTTTCGAAAAAAAGTTAGACGACAAATACCAACATCGGAAAAACAGAACCGCGGCCAAAAGGCTTACCGAAGGAAGGATGCACCCTCGGGGATTCGAACCCCGGACTCATCTTGGATTCCCAGCATCTGTGAACTGTAAGATGTGTGTTTCCATACACCAAGGGTGCTTAGTACCTGCATTGCAGTGGACATATATCAACCGATGGCTCCGCTACATTATACTCCGGGTTATAGGCGCCCACCCGACTTTGCAAGGTCCCGATAGATATAGATAGATAGATTAAAAAATGGCTGTTCATTCCCTTCGGCTGTCTGCAAGGAAAGAAGAAAAAAGATTATGGCAATACCAAAGTGGGCGACCCGGAAAAGTAGAATCGCCGCCAAAAGAAATCACGACTTTGCAATATACGCCCTCGGGGAGTCGAACCCCGGACTCGTCTTGAATTATTACCAGTATCCAACATTACCATTATGAAGACGGGTGTTACCGTACACCAAGGGCGCGATACCGAGACGGTGGGATGTCGAGGAAGCGTGTCGCCGTCGAGGAAGCGAATATTGGTATTCGCACCCTTTCTCCGCCGACCCGCCGACCCTGCTCGGGATACGTAACGCGAGCGATCCCCGTCGCGCAGCGGCGATCAGCGCCAGGCTTAATCCCGACTATATCCGCGCGCCAAACTCGCCGGCGCTCTTACGAAGCGCGGGCTTGGTAATGCGCCCGTGCTGTCGGGTGGATTACCACGTTGCTGGCGGGACACGCGTCCATCAGAAGGAGGGTGTGTGCCGCGTGGGGACGGACCCCGGGGAGCGCGGCGCTTCTTGTGATGGTGGGTTGGTTTGCGTGGTGAGGGTTGGATACTGGGTAGTTTCAAAGGATATTGCACGTCGAGTGGAGGGGCAGCAACGGAGCGTCGCGGTCGGATCTGCAGGAGCACTGGTTGTGCACAGGGATTTACATTGGCCGGAGAAAAGGCTAACTCCGTGATGCGGGCTGGGTGGATTGGAGTGGCCCGCCTGTTGCGGTTCGGGTTCGCGTGGGGTAGGGCGCTTCTTTTCACGTCGGCCTACTAGAAAACCGGCTGCGCGTGTCTGCCGTGCGCTTTCCTGCTGCCCCGCTTTTCTGCCCGCTTCATCTGTTTCTGCGCGTACCTATATCTTGACGCGCCCCGACCCTGCTACACGACATGAGCGATCTCCCCGGCGTCGACGCCGCCGTTGCCGCCGCCGTTGCTACAACCACCACCGACACCCCCGACGTCCCGATGCCCGCCGCCCTTGAGACTGCTAAAACTGCTGCTGACGACGCTCCTGTGCCTACTGCTACGACGACTACCGCCCCCACCACGACGCCCACTCCCGTGCCCCTCCCGGGTACGCTCTCCACCTCCGCACACCTCGCCGCCCTGCTCGCCGGCGCGCTCGGCGACGTCGAGGCCCTGCGCGAGGAGCTCGCCGCCGCGAAACGGCGCGCCGAGCGCGCGGAGCGGCTGTTGGCCACGTTTGGCGCTGTGGCGGCCACGCTGGCGCCGCCTGCGACTGCTACCACGAATTCTACTACTGCGACGACGACACACGAGGCCGACCGCCCGACGTCCTCAGGCAGCGCCGCGTCCGCGTCGGACACACTCGTCCCTGCCGACCCCACCGCTGCGCCAGCCGACTCGCCCACCGCCCCCCACCCCACCTCCTCCTCCTCCCCCACCGCCGCGACCATCCCCCAGCTCCCCCCCGCGACCCTCGCGCTGCTCGTCGCCCTCGACGAGCGCACCGCGCTCGCCGAGTCCCGCCGCGACGACGCCCTCGCGCGCCTCGCGCTCCTGCAGTCCAACTGGGCCCAGCTCAACGCCTACCTTGGCGTCGTCGAGGCGCGCGCGGCGGACGCGCGGCTCGGGTTCAGCAAGATCGTCGAGGGCGGCGGGGGGCGCCTCGTGCTCGTCGACGTGCCGCTCCCCGCGGGGGGCAGCTCCTCGAATCTCAGCCTCAACTACACGAGTGCGGCCGAGCGCGGGTACGGCGAACGCGGGTACGGGGGGGAGAGGGGCGGGTACTACATGCCCCCGCCCCACCCGTCGTCCGCGGCGCAACAGCACCATCTCGCGCACCCGCCGCAGCACCTGCACGCCTACCCCGCGGACCGCAGGTCGGTTTCCTTTTTTTTTTTCCTCAAAAATAGAGTACGAAGCTGACTGGCGCCTTGCGCACAGACGAGACACCCGCCGCGACACGCGCTCGGACGCGTTCAACAGCCTCGCGCTCCCGCCCCCGCCGAACGCGCACGCCGCGTCCACTATCCCCACCGGCAGCAGGCGGCCGAGGGCGGAGAGCGTCGACGTGCATTACTCTGGTGAACGAGGGAGAGATGCGGAAAGGGGAGGAGGGAGGGATGGGGGGAGAGAGCTGAAGAGGGCGCGGGTGGATGGGGGGGAGTACGAGGTGGGTTTTTCGCCGGTTGTGCTTTTTTTTTTGGGAGATTTTTGGGGCTTCGATATTCGGGTCGAGAGTGGGAAGGCTCCACTTGATTTCATTCCGTTCTTCGGGGTGAAATCGTCGACTCGCTATTTCTGTGCCGACACGGGTTGGGCGTCTTGCACTTTCCGTCTCGTTCTCCCTAGTGTCTTTTCGGCAAGGTTCTTTTTTATTCGTTTCTACCTCTCTCTAACTCGTCTTGTCTTGATACTGACGCACCTCGCAGTACCACCACCCACACCCATACTACCCCGCCGCCTCCTCCGGCCTCCCGCCCGCCCAAGCCTCCTCATCCCACGCCGCGTCCTCCTCCTCGCGCTACCCGCCCGCCACCTCCACCTCGTCCCAGCGCCACCCCCAGACGCACCGCCGCTCCCCCGAGCGCCAGCCCACGCACGGGCACGCCCACGCGCACCGCCGCTCGCCCAGCACCGCGTCGGACGACCTCGACGCGCTCCTCCTCGAGAGCGCAAACGGCTCCCCGCGGCCCTCCGCCCACCCGCACCCCCACGGGCACGCGCACGGCTCGTCGTCGAGCCAGCACGCGCGCAGCAGCCCGGAGTGGAGCCGCGAGCGCGAGCGCGGGGGGACGCTCGACGTCCCGGGCGCGCACCACGGGGCCGGGGGCGGGGGCGGGGGGCACGGGACGCCGCAGCGCGCGGGGAGCGTCGACACGCGGCGCGGGGAGCGGGAGCTCGGGCAGCCGAGCGTGTTTGCGCCGGTGCCGCCGATTCCGGGGCAGGCGGGGGTTGTCGGGGCGGCGGCGGCAGCGGGAGGGGCAGGGGCTGGCGGGGCGGGGCCGCCGCAGAAGAAGGGCACGAAGGATCTGCATGCGTTTGCGTACCCGGCGCAGGGGGGCGGGGTGAGTTTTTTTTTCTCTTTTTTTTCGGTTTCTTTCTTCGTGCTTTACCCTCGCCGTCTTGTCTCTCAAACGTATATTTGCTATATGCTAACGCCCCTCTGCTTTCCCCGCAGACCCCCTTCCCGCCCACGAACGCCGCGAACCAGCGCATCTGCCGCCAGTGCGGCCTCCCCGGGCGCTACAAGGAGGGCAAGTGCGTCGAGAAGTGGGGCCCGGGGCCGCTCGGGCCCGGGACGGTGTGCGACCGGTGCAGGAAGAAGATGAAGCGCGTGGAGAGGCGGGGGACGATGGAGATGGCCGCGGCGGCGGCTGCGGCGGGGGCGGGGGCTGCGCCGGGCGCTGCTGCTGCACCAAACGCTGCTGGGGCGGGTGCCGGGGCGGGGGGACAGCCGTTCAGGAGCAACACGGGCGGGGTGCAGCGGACGGACACGTTGCCCGCCGCCGGTGCGGGTGCGGGCGCAGGCGGAGGCGGCGGAGGGGTGGGGTACAGAGAAAGGGAGGCGCCGCAGGAGAGCAGCATGCGCTCCACGGCCGCGGCGCCGCACTCGTCGTCGTCCTCCTCCGCCGCCGCGAACGCGGGGCGGGTGATCAAGAACCGGCTGACGCTCACGCTGCCTGCGAACCCCGCCGCCGCCGCCGCGCACGGGAACGCCGCGGGCGCGCCGGGGCTGCTGCCGCCGCTGCGGACGCACAGCCCGATGGAGGTGGACGAGCACGACGAGCTGGACGGGGACGGGGACGGGGACGGGGGCGGGGGCGGGGGCGGGGGCGGGCGGCGGGGCGCGGACGGGGAGGGGCCCGGGGAGGACGCGGAGGACGGCGAGGGGGACAGCCTGGACGCGGACGCGGAGGCGGAGGTGGACGAGGATGCGCTGCATGTGCATGTGCCGCACCACGCGCACGCGCACCACGAGGAGATGGACGAGGACGCGGACGGGGAGGGCGAGGGCGAGGGCGATGGGGACGGGGACGGGGATGGGGACCCCGAAGCGGATTTGTTGGAGGCGGTGGATGCGGCGGAGAAGGCGACGGCGCATGGGGGCGCGAATGGGAATGGGCATGGGCATGGGCACGGGGCGGGGAGGGGGCGGGTGAAGAGCGAGGATTGAAGCCTCCTCGACTTGCAGCTTGGAGAATCATCGCTACGCCACGACCGCAACGCACCAAACGACCGATACCCATCCCGTCCCATTCATTGTAGCGCTATCTTTCTTGCTCCCCGTCTCGTTTCTTGGCCGGTTCCTTGCCGTGTTTCTTCATCCTCACCATGCTTTCGATCCCCTGCTCTTTCGTTCGCCTATACTATATTCTCCGTGCACATATACATACAGCCCCGCTACCGCTACATACAATACGCCCCTCAGCGGCCGTCTCAATTCAACTCAAAAGTGTATTTATTATATGGTATTTCCTAGCTAGAGAGTCGTAATACCGAGACGAAGAAGACGTATTACTATTTTATTCGTACATGCATTTGTATTCACTTGACTTTGTTTGCATTACAGAGAATGTAT